GTCCTGTACTTTGGTCCCACCAACACCTGGAAGAGAGGACCTGCTGGAGCACTTTGCAAGTCCCCCACCAGCTGCTAATCCTGGTTACCTCTGTGCAACCCCGTCAGTAATGTAGGGAGAAACACATGGAGCTGATGGGGATGAGTAAACATGAAATCCTCAACAAAGCTGAGAAACTTTCTGATACCAGAAATAGTCTTGCCTGTTCCTGGGAATTAGTTTGCCTGTGCAACACAACTGCTAAACACAGAGGGAGATTTGGGGAGGCAAGAGAGGATTTTTACAGCTTCAAGGTGAGGGTTTTGTTATTTTTTGTGTGTTCCTTTGAAGTCTCCTTTGAGGAAAGCAGTAGGAAGAAACTTGTAAAGGAAGACCAGAGAATATTTAATTGTTCTACTCCCACACTAGACTGAGCATAATAAATGGAACTTGAGCCTCATGTCTCTAATTTGATTCTTTGAAAGTCCCTCGTTCTCTTTTTGCCCAAGGCAGACATCTATTTTCCTATTACAGTTCCTCTAAAACTAACATAGCTCTTGGGGATTGATCCAGCTTCCATTGAAGTCGGTGAGAATTTTTTAATTGATTTCAGTGGGAACAGAAATAGGCCTCTGGGATACATCCTTGCATTATTATTTATTTCTTTTTCATCGGATTGTGTCATCATAAATACATCCTGCATTCTTGAGGAAGGCTCATGCAAGATGTGTAAAGAGTTTCACTTCTCAGCAAACCTCTTGGTTTATTGCAAATCTGATTTGGGTTAGGGAGGAAACCTGAAGGACCAAATCAAAACCTGTCCTAGGACTCAAATGAGTTAGTACATATTTTGTTTAAACCCCGATAGGCATATGCCCACATATGACACGCAGTTTTCCACCATAAATATCTTATAAATAAAACATCTTACAATGCCAAACTATAAACTTTGGTAGTAGCTTCCAAAAAGGTTTTCGGTATGATAGACTGATGCTGTTCCCTGTTTTAAATTCCTAGCTCCCTGGATAGAGCAACACAGTGCATTAACAACTGGGAAGTCTTAGATGGTTCTGGTTTTGTCATGCCACAATCTGCTTCTGATCCCAATGAAACATGCGGTGGTTAACCTGTTTCCAAATGTGTATTTGGACCAACACGGTTAAAAATGTAGAAATCAAAAGGGAAACAGTCATATGGTGGACACGAAACACTAAAGAACATACTGACTTTTCAAAATTATATGTCCTTATATCCTCCAGGGCACTGTCTTATTTATGTACCATTGCCATTTAGAGCTCAGCTATAGAGTGCTTGAGGAAAAGACCTTTTACCATTTCTATGAGGTATTCAGCATAGAAATCCTTGGAATGTTTTGCTAAATACATAAATAGGTGGCACATTTCATATAGTTGTTCCCTGCTGCTATTCTCCACTTTTTCACTATAAGTTTTTCAATTTATGCACGCTGTAATCGGTCTCCGTGTCAGGGGTTTTTTTTAATGGAAAAGTATTCATCAACATTTTGTATGGGATATTTTTCAAATATTAGAAGGGAAACATATTACTTAGCAGGGGGTGACCTATAAAACTCTTGAACTTGGACTGCTAGTGTATTTGCTTTGTTTATGAACAGGATCTATACTAACGTGCCTTGTTTACAGAGCGACCATTCTGGAATGAACAGCTGAAATCTCCTCAGGTACAAGAACAGATCTGTTGCTTTTTAAGGAGATGTTGCTGGAGTTGCTGTGAATTTCAATGAAAAGTTCCACATCTGGAGCCACTCCAAGATCTGGCTCTTAATTTGGAAACTAAATTACATTTAGCATCCATTTAAAACTGACTGTTTTTTAAGCTTGTGTCCACCCAACTTTATCATGTGTTGCACAGCTTTTCTTTGCAATTACTCCAGATCCACCAAACTCTACTAAAATTCCAGGACATGGGTCTGCCAATTAGCAGCAGCTAAATGCCTCTGTTTATGGGGGGAAATC